GTCTCTCATGGTTTCAGGGGCCCGGCCAGTGCAAATCGCGGGCCCCGGCCTTCTCCCTGCTTGGGAAATGGAACGGGCTCAGTCAGACACGTGGCCGAATGTTTGATGTTGGTGGTCCCTGGCTGAAATAGAGGCCTGCATTGTCCCAACAAGGTCCCCATTTGGTACAAAAGCCCCTTTGACCGACATTTGCGGGTTCAGTCCAGAGGGTCGCAGTCCCTATGTGGCCCCCAGCCAGACCTTTGGAACCGTCTTCGAGTCCCCTTCAAACACTGCCCCTAGCCTATGCGGGACACCTGGCCACCCCAGGACCCCTCCTGTGCTCAAACAAACGAACAAAACACATTGGCTTAAACGACCCAAAGATTCCCTCACTGACTCAGGGCTGCAGGCAATGTTAGCTGAGGGCTCCAGCCTTGTGCCTGTTTGGAAAGTGAGCCATCGGTTCAAGACTGACACGAAGCCGACTGTTCTGTATTGGTGGTGACCGGCATTAGAGACTTCGGCAACGCGGGCCGGGCCCCTTAATACGACCTCCGGGCGGTGCTTCGGGCTCTCAGGCAGGGCTCTTGACTGTCCGTCCCGAGAGGATTTTCGGACCTCCTGGAACGTAGGGAGAGACACGTACCCGCGCACCCTCTCCCCCCTGCTGCACCTCTGACCGGCGGAATGAGTTTAATAATGCGCCGGAGGTAAATGGAACAGCTGCGAGCAATTGAAACTGGGGCTTGCGTACATAAGCTCGTTTTAAACTTGTTTGGGACTTACTTAGCCTAGTTAATTAATTTATTTACTTAGTCCCCAGCCCTTTCTACTTGTTTACCTCCTCCCTCTTTTCCACTTCGCATTTATGGTACATCTCTCCATTCCTTGTCGTCACATTCATTAATGTTCCTCTCACGATCGCTACCTCGCATCCCTGCTTCTTCTTTCCCTTTCGTTCACCTCTTCTTCATCTATATTTTTGTGCTTGCTCTGCTCCAGAAAAGCTCCTGTGCTAACACTTGCCCGCATGTTGAAAGTTCACCTTTGCTTCCATTCCTCCCATCATAAACAATCACCTTTTCTCCCATCCTCTTCACTCACCTCTGCTCCCATCATCAGCACTCGCCTCTGCTCCCATGCCCTGCACTCACCTATCCTCCCATCCTCTACATTCACCTCTTCTCCCATCCTCTACACTCACCTCTGCTCCTATCTTCGCCACTCACCTCAGCGGCGAGCGCCGGTCGGCACCCTCGCCTGGGGGAGACAGCCTGTTAATACGGGGGAGTGGCCGGGCCAGCCCGTCTAACGGTCCCCGATACATTGATCGTCGGTCCCGGCCGGCCCCGCCGCTACTGGTCAGGTCTCCTGCTTTAGCCGAGACCCCGTTCCACTGTCGCTCTGGGACCGCTGAGGCCTAAGTACCACATGCATCACGTTGGAAGTACTTGTATTCTGTGTGGTCGTTGCAACTGAATGCAAGAAACCGACAATAGCTTTTCTTCTATTGATAATGGTGGTTGCATTGCTTTTCAGACGCGTGAAGCTCCTTTGGCCACAAATGGCGCGGGAATTCGCACCGCTTCCTGATGTGCGGACGGACAAATCTACGTCATGCCGGGGTGTTGCATTAGGGTCTATCAGTCTAAACACTGGTGCATGTGAAGACAATCAAAACGGTGGGATACTGGGCAAGCGTTTCTCTTCGGAGTCGGATTGGGGCTAGTGGCTGGCAGTGAAGGCAGGCAAGGACGATCGGCAATGTCGTATGTTTGTCCTCCAAATTTATGCTATGTCCCTTCCGTATTCAGCATGACCTTATCCTCTGCCATCCGTTTTCACAGGTGGCAGCCAGCAAAAACTTACAAAGCAGATTGTTTAGGCCGCTCTCTGACAGCGACAACCTGATAATGATATTCAGATCACATCCCCATTTATAAGCGCCTTTTGTGGGCGGCTTGCAGAAGAGCAGCTAAGCGGCCCGTGGAACGAGGGGCTTACCATCCCCTGTTGCCTCGTCAAGATCGAGCAGGTTTTCACCACGCCACGGATGAATATATTTCCGCAATCCGGTGATCAGAAAAGTCCTCTCGACTTAATGTGCCATTAGTTACGATGGAGGGTGACACGTCGCGCCCAGCCTGGGACCCGACAGCGGTAACCTAGTGACAGGGTCAGCGGGTAACATAGTGGATATGTACAGTACGTATAGCGGTACCTACATACGCATAGTATAGTAATATATATAGTAATATATACCTACATAACGTATAGTAATGCTGATGGAAGCTTTTGAGCGCCGGGGCAAACATTGCTGGCCTGTTGATGCGTTGCATACTGTATGTATTAGCGTTTGTGGCGTCCGTAGTCTGTTCTCGGCGCGCAGATACTGTGAATGCCCAGTTACGCGATCCTAAACAAAGATCCTATCCCCCTTCCGTCGCAAATTTTGGTAGCCTTTCTAGTCGCAATTCTGGCTGCGTCCCTGGTAGTGTCGTACAGATCGGATAGCATGTGGGAGAGTCAGAGTTTCTGTCGGTGCTACCTGAGTAACATATAGCACATAACGTATAATAGTGTTACCTGAGTAAGATATGGTGCGTAAGTGTAATTCTGCTTGTTTGGCGCTACCAAAACAGCCCAACGGCTCAGGGCATTGGCTGTTGGCCGTGAGAAGCCATACCCACGGTTAAGTTGCAGATACTGAAGCCCTGGAAAGTGTTAAAACTCCCGCCAGGCTGCCACCAACAACTGGAAAGACTTCAGTCCTTGCGCGAAACCCTCCAGGGTTGGCGTCCTGCCGCAGTTCCAACCTTTGTTGGGGCTCACATGGCTGGCAGGGGTGACGCTATCTCCGCTCGTCAGCGATCGCCAGCATCCCTGCGCTACCTGGCGGGGCGCAGCGGGCGGCGTCTGCGCCGATCTCCGGGCCGGGGTCGGGGCGACGCCGACAGCCGCTCGCCCCTCGGTATCCCGCTCCGGTGGCCAGAGCCCGCAAACGACCTCGCTCTCGAAAACATCTGAAAGTCACGCTCAAGTGTCCACTCTCACAAACTGGCAAACAAGCAGAATGGGAATAATTGAGCCGGGCTGGCGGTCGAGGCGATTTATCGGAACCGCCGTTAGACGCGATTCGGCCAATAAATGACACGGAAACCGGACCCGGTCCGCAGCGGCAGGTGATCAAATTGCCCGTGTCATTCTTGCGTCATTCTTTTCAGGTTATTTGCGTCGCGTTTCGATACAAATGCGTGTTTTCGACCACATTGATACCAGTGCGCCTTTTGCTACTTGCTAAACATCGCTGCGGCGGAAATGGAACTGCAGCTGGACGGCGTGCCCGTGACACGAGTGTCGGACGGGCCGAATTTCCTAACCATTCAATCCCGTCAATTTCGCTCCGTTTCCTCTGCCGAGCGCTCCGCGCCTGATCTGCATGTATCACGTCATTCTGCAGTTTTCCGTCGAGCAAATGCGCGAGCCGGGTTCGCACCTCGCTTTTCCCGGGCGAAAGCTCTCCTCGCGCGGCACGAGGCGCCCTTTACCTCGCCAGCCTCGACCGGCCGGGCCCGCACTCGGCGCGCGTTTGTATTCATTCGGTAACTGTTTGCCATGCTTGGTGATAATAAAGTTCATCCCGCGACCGGGCAGCGTGAGAAAACACAGCCGGTTTCAGAGACAGAAGCGCCAAATGATACGGCTCCGGGCCGCCGCCCGGTTATGTAAACGCGGTGATTTCACCCTTTATGACTCGCCGCGGCGAGCATTAAGCAGTTTAACACGAAATGATGCCGAATACGGCTCCGCGGACTGGAATCGGCGAGTGGATGGAGTCGCAGAGACGGACGCCAGCTTTTTTTTTGTCGCCGCCACAAAATCTTTCCGCCGGTCGTAGATTACAGCTGATTGCCCAATTTATTATGATACGGGCCCAGGGGAGGCGGGGAGCTCTGTGGCGCACTCAACCGCGAGCCGCCCCGACGCGGCCGCTAAACAGCTGTTTCATCTGCCCCGGGGCATATTAGGATGCCTGTTTTCTCTCCAGCATCATGTGGGCCGACGGTGAGATGAAAAAGGAACAGTCCAAGTGCGAAATCGGGCACCGTGAAGAACTAGTTCAGTGTATGAAGCCCTTTTATCTGAGAAATAAAACGTTTCAGATCTCTCAGATGTTCTCCTGGGATTCCATCCAAATGAGAAACCTTAATCCAGCAGGCTACCGTGCGGATGACACTCTTTGGGCAACGAAATCCGGTGTGAAGATTCAGTGCGTGCAAACAAGTTAAACGAGAGTTGGTGCAACTACGAAGATCATTGGTTATGCAAAAGAACCCTCGCCTTATTATTTGTTGATATATGAAGAGAATGTGGAAAATAGCGATACATTAACATGTCACCCATAACCCTTTGTCCAAACAGTAGACCACATAAGCGAGCATTTCATTCAAACCTGCCTCTGGTATTGGAGGGTACTTCGCTGTTCCCTCATTATTTTGTACTGCTTCGACAAAGGCTTGCTGCTGAAATGTCAATATGCCGCCAAGGTATAGAGCCGGTTGAATAGCTATTAAACCTTAACGACAGACATAAATCCGGGTAGGTGACATTGTGAAATGTCAGGTTTGTTTTCATGTGGCATTGTACTTATCAAAGCTCAACGAGCGATGAGTGGTCGAGCAGCGGCCGCTTCTGAACGTAAGCTCAATAAATATGACGGACTGTAAACGGTACAACGTAGGTTTGAGTGGCACATAAGTCAGCAGGGCTCGCGCGCCAGACCTTACACCTAGCTCGGTTATTGCAGATCAGCCCACGCAAGCGGCATTCGTCGGTTCATGTCAATGTGCGCCGGCACCATCCCCGCGGTCGTCACGGTGCTCCGTCGGACGTCGCCGACAGGACCCAAAAGCCTAATCTGTGCCTGCAATGTTCAGAAGCTCCAGTTCCGTCCCAAAACCCGCACAGCCGACCTGGATGCGACGTAACTTTCATAGAATTATGACCATCTCTTGCAGAAAGGCTGCCCTCGTTCGGCGAGCCGGTGAAAAATGTGACGGCTACTGTGGGGCGCAGAGCCACGCTGGTCTGCGTCACCGAGAACCTCAGCAGCTACAAGGTAAGCAGCCGCGCTCCCGTGGAAATGGCCAGGTGAGAGCTGCATTCTCACATGAGGCGTTACAGCGTATCTGCAAGGCATGTCTGTAGCAGCTGTTTCTTACTCCGATTTCGCAAAACCATGGGCACCCGGCGAGGTCATGACCCCACAGAAGCGTGTTTAGAGGGCATCCATCGATCTCTCCGGCCTCGATTTTCGGTACCGCTCTGTAACTAGGCACGGCATTTAGGATTTCTCTCCAACTGCCAATCGCTGTTAAATCAACCTCTAGATACATCCCGGCCTTAACGCCCGCAAACAGCGCTAGGCGCCAGCAGAGTTGGTAGAGAATGCCATCAGGCCCTGTCATTTTAGGATTGATTATGGTTGGAATGGAATGGTGCTAGATAGCCCTTGCATTTCTAAGCAAGCTTAACGAAAGCCTTTGTCGCGTCTGAGACCAGGGTCAAGATTAGACCAGGCTATCAATGATCATTTTTAGATTGCGTGTAGCCTCTGGAACAGGCAGAGGAGCACAGAGGACACGATCCCATCCCCTTTTACGTCCTTATTTTGATGGCCCGAAGAGCGAAGGTCTTGCCGGAGGTCGTATTTGGGGTGCCGGCCCACAGGGCCAGACTCTCAAATGCTGGTCAGAATAGGAGCCTTTGTGCCGATTGTGAACACCCTGATTCGATGAGGGCCTCTTTGTCGGTCAGACATCATAAGTACCGCGCATTGTAAACTCTGTTTCCGAAGCAGTGACAAGGCTGGGAGCGGCGGCTTGCATTGACTTGGACCCAAGCCCACCTGAGTCAATGAGGGGTATCTGTGTCTGTCAGGGATCCACGGTGCCTAACAGGGGTCCTGTGTCCGTAAGCGTCTCCGAGTTGCCCAGGGGCAATGTTCGAGGAGCCCCTAAGAAAACCCGAAGAGCTCTTCAGACCGACGACCAAGGGCCAGATTGGAAGGTCCAAAGCCGGAAAGTTCCTTTTGCAATGGCGCTTGGTCACCTTAAGGACTCCGGCTCGCAGGACCGAGGCCCCCGAATGTCAGTCAGAGGCCTCTTGCACACATTGGGAACTCACTGAGACAATGCCGCCTCTACTTCGGGCAGAAATCATCAGCATTAAGCAGTCGGTTCCGTATCCGTCTAAGCCCTCGGGCCATTTCGCGAGGAGACGCAAGGTACACGTTTGTGTGTAACTCGGCTGAAATTTTTCACGTGTTGAATCGTGAAAAACATCCATTCAAGTGTTTTTAATAATATCTTTTTCAGCTACGCGATCTTGTATCACACCACAGAGGAAAAAATGATAACCTTTTAACCGAAAGTGCCACTTATTGCAAAGATAGGTCAGCCTTCAGTAAAACATGTCATTATCCAGCACATCTTACGCTGCTTGCGTACTCTTTCTAAAGCTTACATATTTCAGTAATCTGTTAATATTTCTGATGTAAGAAGACCTCTCATATCCGAGTGGGCGATGCTGTTCAGTACTTTGGCCCAAACGTGAATAGCGTTAACCAGCTATGCCTCTAAGAAGTATAGTTTATCCCCAACGGACAGAGCAAAAGCTCAACCTAAGCTAGTGACTTATCATGACGTTAAAAGGGGCGTTGACATGGGTGTAATGGTTTGTTCACACATGCCTTTTTCACGTGCGTCGGACGCGCGTGCATGGCCTTAGGCAGTAAACCACCAACCTGCTAACGCCATACTTTTGCTGAATCTGTCACACTTTTTGACAATTATTTAGGTCAAATATGCCTATTTAGTACTTATTTTTATATTTGTTAACGAATAGCGGTGGGTATTCGACTACTGGTTTTTGTAAACATGAATATCGACAATGAAAGGTATGATACGCGGCTGGACGTTAAGTGTGACTTACATTGCGACGGGCAAGTCAAATTGTATTCCAATTGATAGGTAGGTATGAGTTAGGGTATGGTATAGGTATGAGTTACATGTCACACTTTTGCCATGACATCACCTGCTTTTGGAGTGCTTACGATGCGTTAAGGGAGCTTTTGTGTGAACAAGCCTTTAAGCTCATGGGAGGAAGAGCTGACAAGAGCCAGGAGTAACTGTGGTGAAACACCCCCCCCCCCCCCCCCCTCCTTTAAAGTAAACGGAAACCGCAAAGTTACTGTTCTAAATCCACCGCCGCATGTCCCAGTGGAATTACATGCCAGCAGAGAATGCCAGCTATAGGACCGAGGCCCCCGAATGTCAGTCAGAGGCCTCTTGCACACATTGGGAACCCGCTGGGACAATGCCGCCTCTACTTCGGGCAGAAATCATCAACATTGAACAGTCGGTTCCGTATCCGTCTAAGCCCTGGGGCTCATTTCGCGAGGAGGTGCAAGGTACACGTTTGTGTGGAACTCGCCTGAATTTTTTTCGCGTGTTGAATCGTGAAAAACGTCTATCCAAGTGTCTTGTATCTTGTATCACATCACATAGTGATGAAATGAGATCCTTTTGACCGAAAGTGCCACTTATTGCAAAGAAAGGACGGCCTTCAGTAAAGCATGTCATTATCCAACACACGGATGATTATCCCCTACTCGTATCTCTGCAACCGACAGCAAAGGAAAGCTCGTTTCGTCATTAAGACAAATGCGCAGTTATAATGTGATACATCCGTGACTTTAGACACGGATATATGCTGGGTCTATAAACCTAGCAGTGGAATTACGTTTCGTGCAATAGGTCAGATTTGTCACTTACTCTTTCAGGTCAGCTAAAATTCGGTGGTCGTACGCTTACATTTTGTAGGCTCTGGACTTCGCACATTTTGGAGCCTGTCCAGGACAGTTCAGATGTTGTATAAAAACCAGTCGAGAATGCTCATAAAGTTCCGACGTCGGGATTCAAATGCGACATTTGGAAGAAGTGAAACACACGCGGCTCAAACAGTTGGAACGATCGGTGCCCAGGAAACGAGGGCTTAAAACCATGGCAAACCATAGGATGATCGGACAAACCATGCACGCCACCTCCTGGCTATAGATAAGCCTCACACGCTACAAATGTGCCGTACTTCCGTTCAGACTTAAATCAAGTCTATTTTTGCTGTAACTTGGGACGCGTCTGTGGCCTTGGGCTTTCGCGACCATCCAGCCGTGATCCCCTATAGATGCGTGCACGTATGTCTCACACCAACGGCAAGTGTGATGTACGGGTAAGCGACTTCTCTTGCTGCTAGTGTGCAGCGCGGTCCTGCGATCGTTGTGGAAAGAGGGGTGCTCTCCCGGCTGTCACTCACTGGTGTTTGGAGAAATCCGACCATTGCTCGCTGCACCGCTCAAAGGATTGGCCGCGCTGGTGGACAAATATTACTTTTGAGCCTAAATATGCTGGACTAACATGCTGTCGTTGTCATAACCAATCATACCATTCAGGTCGTAACCCAATATTTTGATCTGCCAGCACTGCTTCGGCGCCGAGGTGATCTGTTTGTTTGCGAGTTCACTAAAGATCGATCACCATCTGTTTGCGTGATCGCGCGGTTGGTTTAATTTGTTTTCTGAAGCGGTCTAAAATGCCGCACGTCTGTGTGAGATAGCCTTTTGTCAGCCGTAGTCCCTCTCGATGGTCTACATGCACCCCTGTGTCCGGCCTCCTCCTCAGTCCTGTGTACCCCTCTGTCCGGTCTCCTGCCCAGTGCCGTGCGCCGCCTCTGTCCGGCCTCCTCCTCAGCCCCGTGTACCTCTCTGTCCGGCCTCCTCCCCAGCCCCGAGTACCCCTCTGTCCGGCCTCCTCCACAGGCCCGTGCACCCCTCTGTCCGGCTCTTCAGTCCCGTGAACCCCTCTGTCCGACTCCTCCTCAGTTCCGTGCGCCGCCTCTGTCCGACCTCCTGCCCAGTGCCGCGGACCCCTCTGTTCGGCCTCCTGCCCAGTGCCGTGCGCTGCCTCTGTCTAGCCTCCTCCCCAGTGCCGTGCGCCGCCTCTGTCCGGCTTCCTCCCCAGCCCCGTGTACCTCTCTGTCCGGCCTGCTCCCCAGTGCAGTCCCGTGTGCCCCGTCCGTCCAGCGGTGAGCTCAGGCCCGACCATTACGGCCGGTGGGGAGTGCGGCCCAATATCGGCCAGGCGCCGGTAATCTGGAGGTGGCGCGACAATGTCGCCAGGCCTGCCATTACCCTCGCCCCGGCCGCGCCGCTAACCAGACTTTATTGCCCTCATTCCTGCCGTATGCACAGAAAAGCGGCGTGGAAATGATGAAAAATGCGGCTGGATATTGGTGAGTGTGCGGCGGCCCCCGTCCGCTGCCGAACACCCCTTCGGCGTGATTACTCAGCGTCTAAGCTGGCGGCGCTTACAGGCGAGGCGCCCAATCGGACAGGTATGGATATTCAGCCGGCCACAGAGTCCGGACACAGTCCAGATCCGATCAGACGGGTATGGATGTTCAACCGGCCATAGGGTCTGGACACAGTCCACATCCGATCAGACGGGTATGGATATTCAGCCGGCCACAGAGTCCGAACACAGTCCAGATCCGATGATCAGACGGGTATGGATATTTAGCCACGAAGTCCGGACACAGTACAGATCCGATCAGACGGGTATGGATATTCAACCGGCCATAGAGTCTGGACACAGTCCACATCCGATCAGACGGGTATGAATATTCGGCTGGCCACCGAGTCCGGACAAAGTCCAGACCCGATCGGACAGGTATGGATATTCGGCTGGCCACAGAGTCCGGACAAAGGCCAGATCCAACCGGACGGGTATGTATGTATGGATATTCAGCCGGCCACAAAGTCCAGACAAAGTCCAGATCCGATTTAATCTCATCCAGTGTGGAATGCCGATTGCCTAGCGTAAATATATCGGCGTATCGCATTCCATTCTCATTTTACATAGCATGTCAAAATGATCATACGTGGGCCCATGGTGTTACCACGGGGGCAGAGGGATGTGTCCGCGTTAGTCTCCCCAAAATGAAGTCCCCCAATTGTGTCCGTACAACGTCCGTTTGTTCTGCTTTCCCATTCAAATATTCCCATTTCAGAATAGGTTTCCGCTTTCAGATTTCAGCTTGCCCCCAATCCTGACGTATTCTCTCAATCTAAGAGACGAGATGCCATCAATGCATGGGCCTAACGTTAGGTGGGTTAGGCTGCACGTGTTAAGCTGATAGTGAAGCCTTGAAATCATTCCAATCCATTTTTGCTGTCCACGTTTTCAGTTTCAGTTTCGTCCATTAGGTTGTGCTTGATCCGGTCCGATCCAGTCCACGAATTATCCGTAAGTCCATGAACGTATCAAACCCCGAAGTGCTCCGAGGCGAAAACCACATTTCACCAAACACAGAGAATCGGTGCTGTTCCTTGTGTTGTTTATGTTTAAGCTCTATTTAGGGGCTCGAACAACCCTGGGGAGGTCACGACGGCTCAGATGGGCTGTAGAGCTCCGCGGATGGTTGACTCGATTTTTGACTTGTGGAGCTTATGCGCCGCTTTGACTTGAGAGGTAAATACAGCCGTAGTGCGCCTGCCCTAAGGTGTACGCATTGCAGATAACAAACAGCGGCATCGATGTTCCATTTAGCAAAGCCTGATGTGTGCTTTTGTTCTAGGTACAATGCTGCATGTCCTGTATGAGGGCTTTCTCTACCTCAGTTGTGATTATCAACTATCGCCTCTCAAAGATGTTCGCTCAGTCTGGACCCATCTCCGACCACCAGCTGACACAGCTTGGGAAGATCCCCCAATTTTATTCTCGCCCCTTATCAGACCGGTCGATCTTGGAATTGCCTTGGTTCATTGCAGCCCGCCAGTTGCAGCAGTTACCCAGAATTGCTTCTCTAGGTCTATTCCCGGCCATCAAATGACTTATGTGGGGAGGCTCTCTGGCCGTGCTAGCTGACGCCCCTGTCTGTCGGTTGACACCCCTGGGAGGCTCCCTGCCGCCAGGTATCATTCCTACAGGGTTCCCTGACTGCCAACTGACACCCCCGGAAGGCTCCCTGTCTGCCTGCTGACAACCCTGGGAGGCTCCTTGCCTGCCGCTGACACCCCTGGAAAGGCTCCCTGTCCGCCGGCTGACACCCCTGGGAGATTCCTTGCTCGCCGCTGATACCCCTGTCCGCCTGATGACACCCCTGTCCGCCGGCTGACACCCCTAGGGGGCTCCGTCCCGGATGCGGTCCGCTAATCCAGAGACTTAGCGCCGGTCGGGGAGTTTTTCAATAACGGGCAAAGTTGCCAGATTATCGGTCGGCGCGCGGCGGCGGCGCGGGAGGGCGGCGGGGCCGGGGGTCTCCCGGGACGGCCGGTCCGCCCGCCGACACTCCTGCGGCGTCGCTCGCCGGCTACCGCGTCACCGCTCGGCCCAGCGGAGCAACTTCGAGCTGTAATGTGGTGGCACGCTCTCGGCGGCCCGAGAGGGGTGATGCTCCCCGAACAGGCGTATGTCCTCCGACTCTGAGGGCTGAGACGAGCTCGCCGCGGCCGCGGACAGACGGTAGCGCTTGAAGCTCGCGGCGCGGCGGCGGCTAGGGGGGGTCGGTCCCGGTCTGAGTCCGTCTGAGCTGATTTGTCAGTCTGAGGCAGGCTGGGTCGGTCTAAGCGAGTGCTACTAGAAGTTTGTGCTCCAAATTTGTATAGGGGTTTTCAAACGAAATAGCCATGGTGAATATCGTTCGGTGCAGTTCACAGCCCTACTATTCTTACGAACTAAATCCTCTAGTTTTTTAGCTACACACTCGCGAGGATGTGCAGACCACTTGAGGCCGCTATTTCAAGGCCTCTTAGGCATGCATGACGCCATAATAACGTCATTCAAATCCTTCGTTTTCATTGGCCATGCGGGGATCAAGGCAAATGCAAATACAATTGTCAAGTCTTTCATATTTGGTGTTCGTGAGGATGATTTCCAGACAAAGCGTCCGTCAAATGACAATCAATGCTGTGTAAAGCACGACGATGCAATCAAATAGTGACGTTTAGATGCAATCAAATAGTGACGTCTAGATGCAATCAAATAGTGTGGAGCTTATTTAACGGAGAAATCGTGTTGTCCAGAGCAAACTTTCCCACTTAAAGGTATACCAATAGGTCTAAATGAGCTCATTTCATTTCATCTGATGCTTGCTCCAATACGTTCAAATGTGAAACATTCCCTTTAAAGAGAGTGTTCCACATTTGTATGGGGTTTTGAACTAAAATCATTCGGTGCAGTTGACAAGTCTGCCTTTTTTAAGAATTGAACCCCTTTATTTTCTGAGCTAAACTCCCGTGAACATGTGCAGACTATTCCATACAGACTGCTTCAAGGTCACCCAGGTAACCGGACGTCATAATAATGTCATGGATGTCCCTCCGTTCCATAGGCCGTGCGGTGATGAGGGCAAACACAAATATAATTCTCGAGTTTTTCATGCTAAGCGTTCGAGAGCACGATTTCAAGGCATAACGGCAATCAGTTGGCTCTTAATCCATGTTGTGCAAAGTACGATGACGCAACCAAACAATGAGGTGTTGAGTATATTTACTAAATCGAGAGATTATGTTGCCTCGAGCAGTCTTTTCCTCTTAAAGGTATGCCAATAGTCATAGGTGAGCTTATTCCATCATATCTCATGTTTGCTTCAATATCTTCAAATGTGAGACATTCCCTTCAAGGTTTGTAGTGCCCTTTGTCGCACCTGCGGCAGTTTGTGCATGCTTGAAACTGCTGTGACCGTTGAGCCGTCTACGTTGGTAAGTCAGTAGGTCATGTTCACACATTGTTCAGTTTCGGCAGTGATCGGAATCAAGCCTAAGCCTACGGTTTGGCCAACCCTGCTTATGTATCGTCCGAATGAAGGACCATACTCGTGCTGAGAGGCATGTGCAGCGCCATTTCGCAAGCAAGGGCTGGCTGGGAAACCCCGAACTCTAGTCTGTTCGGGCTTGAGATGCTGTCTGGGGACATGCCGCCCCGGGGCGCGCCCGTCACGGCGCTGGCCTCTGTTGCCAGGTGGCCTGGGTCAAGGTGGACACGCAGACGATCCTCACCATCGACAGCCACGTCATCACGCGCAACTACCAGATCTCGCTGACCGAGTCGGACGGCCGCGTCTGGAACCTACACTTCAGCAACGTCGACCGCAACGACTCCGGCTGGTACATGTGTCAGATCAACACCGACCCCATGGTCAGCCAGATGGGATACCTCGAGGTGGTTGGTGAGTGACCCGGGGGCAAACAGACTCACGTGGCGCGTGTGAACATGGTGACTCGAGATGTCTTTTTTCATATTCGACCGGTGGTGTATACAACGAATAGAATCAAACTCGAAGCGACCCTACACACGTCCCCCGTTGTGATGTGGTATCACGCACCCATACCTAGAACAACACTGTCATGCGGTATCGTATCTAATTCACACACTGATAAGATATACTATGTGCCCCTTCAAATGATTCATTTCGGTTTTTCTCGTGTCTGTGAAATCATTTACAAGTGTGGGTCGGTCAGCGTGAATCATCGCTCGCTCATATCCCAACAGTGTCTTAATATTTACCCGGCCAGAGAAAACCGCACTTCAGTGTATTGGAAACTTCAAGACAATGCTATCTTCTGCCCTACGACTCTATCTACTGCCTACTATCTTCTGCCCTACGGCTCCCATCGCGTGCCCTACGTTCGCATCTCCAAGTGCGAACGAAATGATAGCCACGTTCACGAAGCATTACGGTGCGAAACTACCCAAACGTGTGAAAAATTTTCAACGTTTATTTCCCAACGATACATTTCCAGTGATTTTCAGCTAAAAATGCTTTGGAGACATTTCAATACACGTGTGTTAAAGACGCACATTTTCATAGAATTGAGGCTTGTTTGTTATCAGCAAGAGCATGCATGTACTGACGGTGATGACACCAAAGCTGTTCCTTCCTGCTTTTTGGAACATCTCAAAAATATCCGGTGGTGTGTCTGACATCGATGCGACCAAAAATACCCGTATACCCCGGCAGCGCCCGTGTTTGTAGGTACACAGTACTTACAGAGCTTACATGCATACACTTGGGCCATGTTGAATATCCCTGAATTGAATGATCCTCAAAACCTGCCCCGCTCCATACGACACCGATGTAGACAACAAGGGCGTGGCCAGTCTCCAACGCCCTCGGCCCATCCACAACGCTGCCAGGTCTGGTATAATCCGTGAATTTTAGGCATTCCAAATATTCGGTGGGGATATAGAATATTCAGCCTAAACTGAAGAACTAGACGTAGAGTCTCGTTTCGTATAATTTAGTTATTAGGAGTTCGATAAACGGGATTTACCCATTGAATAACAACGATACTGCATGAAGACTGTAATTTTATCAACTTAGCAGGTACTTAAACCTCCCATTTTTAAAACCTTTTTTTAAAAAAAATTCGGCGCCTTTATCTATCATGAAGTTGGCCGATGACAGTTTTTTACAAAACACTTTCAACTCCATGACAAAACCGATGTATTGATCGGCTGCTAGAAAAAATGTTGAGTCTGTGGTCTTGACTCCGAGTATGAAATTTGAATTATGGCCATTAGATCGTTCACGAAAAAAGTGCTTAACTTATCATTGTCCGATTAGTACACAAATACGACGTTTTTCGCGCTTGCATTGTTGCATCCATAACCTTTACAACGTGATGCGCTCGTCTTCTGCAAGCGTGCATGCATTTTTTAAATGTCCTTTTGGTGCCCCCAAAATGTCGTGATGTTATTTCATGACAAACTGAAAGCCAGCCCGATCGTTAGTGACGTATGGCAAATGCAATTTTCCATGACTGATGTCTTAGACTTGAACGGATGGCATCATCACATATTCAGCTGCGCGTATTCTGTTAAATAAAGCCGCCATTCGTGAATTATTCCATGGGCAAATAATCCGTAACAAAAGCCTGCCAGCGGCGCCAACAGCGCGTCAGTTCCCAATGTTATTTGGAGCCCGTGCTATGAGAACAGCACAGGAGATTATGTGCAGTGTAAATGCCCGCGTCCAATAAGAAACTCATTTATGAACGCTTGTCATCGACTTCACCTTCTGACCCCGTTGGCAACTATGCTGTCCCACGTTGTTTAAGGTTTGATAACAGGTCACACCCACTCTCACGCCTTCCTCGTTTATGGCGTAGTCCCTCATCAACCGCAAGCTCCCGAAAACAGGTACAAAACAACGCCTGTCTAAATCAGAATGCCCACTTCCGCCCCGCTAAGAGCGATAGGCAAACACCCAGAACAAACGTTAACACACACCGGACCTCGGAAATTCATTCATGGGCGCCCCGCAACAACCAGAACGCGTCCGTTCGCCATCGGACCCTGTCGGCGCCGTGAACAATGGGTGCGGGCAGGGGACGCGTCGGGCCGACCACCTCCGGCTCCGCCAACAATCGGGCGCGCATCCGCTCGCCGCCGGCCGACGCGGCCATCACTTATTTATTGTCGGCAAACAAACAGAATCGCTGGATGACAGGCGGCAAGACGGATGGACAGCTTACTTACACAGGCAGGACGCGGTCGGCAGCGCCGGCTCAATAATACATGACCGAAATTGATTGCAATTACAGCAGCACTAATTAGGCCGGCGCAGCGCGTTGGCGGCGGGACATCATTACGAGCCGGTTTGTTCGAGTTCAGAGTTTTACAACTTTTCGCAAAAGTTCCATCGGGAGTGCGTGGTTTGAATGGCAGCGTGGGAAGACCCATCGTTTGAGATGGCGAGCAATTAGCGGCGACAAACGTCCCCGCTTCGCCGCCGGAGGAGGGGGGGGGGGGGGGTTGAATGCCGTTTAATCGGAGCGGTTTCTCTCCGGCTGTCCGGTGACATAGAGCGGACAGCGGTCGTCGTCAGGTGTGGCGTACCCAAGAGGTGAGGTCAGAATGACTGGCAAACACATGGGTAGTGGATAAGGGAAGAACATGTTTGGCGAGCGGGCACGCGCTATTTTCAAGCATAAAGAGGACATTGATAGATGACTTACGCAGGCGTAGGGAGACGTTATTCTTTCGAGCGACCGTCGCGATCAGCAAAACGTCCTGAGCTGTATCGGACAACCGACATGTTACACGATCAAAAGTCCCCTATGTACGGTGGTGTCAAATCTGTATGATAATGGAAAGTGTTCCTTGTTAGTCACCAGCCACCCGTATCACATGCACGCTTCTGTTTCCTGGTGATTGTTTTAAAAAAAAACATGAACTTTGACACTTAACATGACCAGAATATATGATATACATGATAACGCCAGACCAGGCGCACGTATTTGAAGCGATGATAACAAACGTAGCTGTGACGATCATAAGTTGGCCCGGCATTGAACAGGGTACTCGGCTACCCCCGAGTCACTTGGGCATCTTTTTTAGTCTTTCCAAATTTCTGTGATCAATCGGCTGATTTCGACAGCTTGAATTTCCATCGATAACTTTGGATCCTGCAACTCAGCCCATGGCTTTAACATGTCGGAGGTAAAACTGTGCCAAAATTCGTGAAAAAGTTCGTACGCACCAGAGCATCTGTTTTTGAAACCTGGTTTGGATACTCCACATTTGTGAACTGTTACGGCGGAACATTGCGCTTCATAAGCAAACTTCACCTTGGGGGGGGGGGGAAACGATGGGGAGAAGGTGAAACTGTTTGATAGACAATTATGTGCACCATATACGCCTCCTGGGTGTTTTTTTGCGGTCAGACAAATTTCGGTTGACGTTTGATTTTTCCCTGACTTTTCATCAAGTCAGATCAACACAGCCCAGAGACAAAATAATGCGTTAGGAAAAAGGCACCAAACTATACCACATTACGCTTACAGTCACACATCAAGCAATTTCCCGAAGCTCAAAGCATAACAAAGCCATGCATATAAGAATGACCTGCCAATGGATGTGCAGACACATTTTTACGTTCTAAATTCACGCTAAATGTGTATGAATCAGTGCACCTAGTGACCTGTGATGAACTTATGCCCAATGTAATGTGAAGCTGCCTGTGGCCTAGCATCCAGATCTCCAACAGTGTACCCTCATTTGGCTGATGATGCTGGGGGCCTCCCTGCAGCGTGCAAACGCCATTGTGTTGCAGGTTACAGTCCAAGCCCCTTAATGAGTTCGCATCAAACATCATAGCGCAAAATTAAATTGGGTGACCTGACATACCAGGTCAAGCGTGAACACCTCCTGTATGAGTGATATGTGCTTAGGAGGGTCTTTAAATACCTTGAAACCGTGATGTTATTTGAATGCTGAATGATGGAGACGGCGAAGCTGATTGCTGAACTATGATGAGCTACGCTGGATGACGGCCACATAAACTCTCGTTAGATAACCTTGTGTAACGTATTTGAACCCATTGACATGATACCAATATAGCATATCAAGCGGTGTGAAGAAACCGAGCAAAATCAATGACTTCTGCCCACGCAAGCTACTTGCGATAGCATTGATGTTCACACTTTGACCGGACGTACCCCGGATTGTGTAACCAAATGTTTCGATTTGATGGCTATAGTAATAATGTCACATGTCTTCGACATATTCGGATGTTGATGCAATTTTTCAGGAAGAGACATCATAAAAAGCCGGCAGGCAAATGCACTCCAGTTATAGTCGGATTAAGTATGTCAGCGACACACACGCTCCAACTGTGTCCAAAAGATAATTTGTGTTATATTATAGATAGCAGCCGACGCCGCAAAGGTGTCATGTATTCAAACGCGGCGTGGAAGTTATGCGAACACCACATATATTCAGGCTCAAAACTGTTACAATGGATCCCGTATGGAAGGAAAAATTGTTTGCTTGTGCAGTGAAGAAACCGTTTAGTGGAGATGCCATTCAAAAGAAAGAACTCGAAGTTATGCATATTTCTGTGCCACTGTCGAAATATCTCAGAATGGTTTGGATAATTGCATGTTTTTAAAACATTTTTTTTCTGGTTTAACCCTGCGAGTTTTGTGACCAAACTGGACTTTAAAAAGCTGCAGTGAATATCGCCCTCTAGTGCCCGCCACACCACAGTCACGACTCGCGGTACGCGGAGCCGGCGTGGTCGGTCTCGTTCACTGATCCCACACCAAGCACGCAGCTTGCGAACTGAACCAAATAAAATACAGAATGAACACCATATGGGTGTTGGCGAGGGTCCGTGCCAACGGCAGCCCTGCAAATGATCGTCAGCACTCAACAGCGCAAGGCTGTGGTGCCAGAAAATGAGGCATGCGGCTTTTGCATTCACCGTTCGTGTCAACCGACGTGTCAATGCTGTGTGACCCAGAGCCGCCGGACATCGTTTTGGAAGAGTCCTCCGAGGACATCCTGGTGCACGAGGACTCGTCGACCCGTCTGCGCTGCGTGGCCCGCGGCTACCCGACCCCGACCATCAGGTGGTTTCGCGAGGGTGACGCCAGTCGGCAGCTTCATTCCAGTCCAGGTGAGGCTCCGAGAGCGGAGTGGCTGGCTCTCTTCAGAGGGTGGTCAGAAGGGAGTCGCCACGCTCCCATGGGCAGCTCCACTCCAGTCCAGGTGAGGCTCCGAGAGCGAAGGGCCCTCTTCAGAAGGTGGTCAGAAAGGAGTCGCCACGCTCCCATGGGCAGCTCCACTCCAGTCCAGGTGAGGCTCCGAGAGCGAAGGGCCCTCTTCAGAAGGTGGTCAGAAAGGAGTCGCCACGCTCCCATGGGCAGCTCCACTCCAGTCCAGATGAGGCTCCGAGAGCGAAGGGCCCTCTTCAGAGGGTGGTCAGGAGGGAGCCGCTACGCTCCCATGGGCAGCTCCACTCCAGTCCTGGTGTGGCTCCGAGAGCGAAGGGCTCTCTTCAGAAGGTGGTCAGAAGGGAGCCGCTACGCTCCCATGGGCAGCTCCACTCCAGTCCAGGTGTGGCTCCGAGAGCGAAGGGCCCTCTTCAGAAGGTAGTCAGAAGGGAGTCGCCACGCTCTCGTCACTGGAATGACGCGGAGGGCTGAGTGGAGCTCGGCGAGCCACCACGCGTGGATGCTGAGGTTACCGGTGTAGGCCAGGCTGTAACGCCACTGCTCAATCTCATGGCGTAAAGGACACACAACGGAATCGTGAATCTGAAAGATTCGAAGATAGCATGATTATATGTGGGAAAGTCGTAACTGGCATGATTTGCAGTATATTATTGACTGCCATATCGTGATGCTTTTTTTATTCGTTGCAAAACCCGTTCAATATTCACAACGGCCATGATGCACCCCCTGCAGTCGTTCCCCTGCCGGCCAAAGGTCGGACCTTGTTTAGATCATCCACCTCCCGTCCACGATCAATGTCTGATCGATGTTGATCTGAGATGCAGGCGCACGCCGGGCTGACGGGCTCAGCGAGCAGAGAACACGTGCTAACGATTTCCAAGCGTGCAGGGTCTGTTTTTAGCAGCAAATTACTGTGGAACCAAACACTTTCCCTTCAGAAACGTACTTAAATGTCGACGTACTCAAGAGGAAACTCTGAATTGCTCAAAACCATCTGTGCGTGCCACGATTGCACAAATAAGCACCATTCCACGTGGTAGAGTCGATCTGCAACGGAGCATAATGAGTATGGGACTTTTGGTCATGAACATCGTGACCCACGAGTCAACGAAGTCTGAAATTCCTTGCGTTGACTGTCGACAAAAGAACCTCTTTCCCAGATGATAATTCAAAGTACATGAATCGACGCGTCTTAGTGGATTAACTAGAGATTGAAGTTAGTGTAGAGTTTACTTTTCGTGACCCAATGGTGGGAAAAAATCGAATGTCATATTTTTGGTCCACTTTCTGACCGCTGTTGCGTTAAAATATCCTTCTCTAGTTCAATCGCAACAAAAAGTCAGCCATTCAACGTCAACTGCAACCCAACTTTAATTCAGCGTTGTCGATTTGCCGCAGGTCAGCAAGCGTGTACCTTGCGGACTGCAAGTATCATGGCCAACGATACAGTGAAGTTAACAACTGTTCATTTTGGCCTCCGAAGCGTAGCACTTTTTCTTACTTGGACCACAATAAGTCACAAATCAACGCGGAGGGTCGGTTTACCGGAGGCAGGGGTATGGAAGTTATGGAGTTTACATTTCGTGACCCAAGGATCGGTTAGTTTCATATTTACTTTTATGGTACCTAACACGATGAAGACAGCTTCCTACAGGCTGGTCACATTACAAAGCACACCATTCGACGCGGCGTTGTCGATTCACCCGTGGCGAATAACTGTGTATCTTGTGTAACATGAGAGTCACGACCCATGGGCAGGGACAGTGGAAACTCTCCAAAGCTGCGGGTGCAGACAAAAGTCATGTTTGGCTATTTCTATTCATTCGACGCTCATAGGGCCGGTGGGCACTTTCAGAGTTTGAGGCTGAAAGCCTGCTGGTCCACGGGTTTTCGAACCTCTGTCCACGAGTCTCTCCATCGAGTCACGAGTCATGCTGACGTTGTTCATTGTTGGCAAAGTTTAAAAGTCAAAGCTGTCCAAAAGGTAAGCTGTGGTTTGGCAAACCAAAGGTAGTTTGTCAGAGTGCCAGCAGCCAAAAGTGGATAGTTTAAAAGTTTGTTCACCTGCGGAGCACAACGTTCATGATCGATATGTTCTACACGTACTTGGCTCTGGTAAATGGACTGGGCTGTGTCGAATGGTGTGCGTTTTGTAATCCCAACGCGGACAGATGGGTTTTGAGCGTGTCAGCATTTCTCTCAACGTCATCGTTTTAATACCTTTTTGTAAGGGCCCACCGGCCTACATCGCTGTATTGTGCGCGTAATCTTTTTTAATTTCGTCTGCGTTCGCAGCAGTTAATTAAACTGAGCCAATCAAAATGGAATCCAGCAAAGTCGTCATCAGCGGTAAAAACACGAAGTTGTGGTACTGATCTTATCTTTGTGCTACTATGACCTCGTAAATTCGAGCCAATGAAATTTGAAACCTGACATTTCAGAAGCAACTTCGGTCATTTGCCGTTTTCTCCTTTTCCTTATTACGAATGCCTGCCGATCATAACTATATGCTAATCACAGCATCTGCGGCGCGTCAAGATCTGACCGTGGATAAGCTGCTTGCGGTGCAACGTTATTCGCGGGGGATCACGCTGCTGGTTGGGGCGAGGAGGGGCAGATTTGGTCACCACCGTTGGGAATCTGTTAGTAGAACTGTTAGTGATGATAGGGACGTATATGTTGGACAGGCTATGTTGTGTGTGGTGTGTTTGTGTAGTTATAACGTTGGCGAAGAGCAGACAGAATTTGCGATAAACTCTGAGCGACCGCCTCCTGTTTTCCCCCTTTCCCAGCACGTAGATCTGTCCCGTCTAGCTGTTTTGGTCTCCAGCATGCGGTCTTTCGGTGGACATGTTCCCGCTTCCGTCGCCTCCGTCGCGTTTCCGGACTCCTGGCACATATTTTGATATCTCGTTCCACGTCTCCAGAATTATCATTTCTAACATCCCGTCTCCAGGCGTCTGCTGCCGGTTTTCCATGTCATTTCTCCAGTCTCTGGTCTCCGGTCCCCTTATGTTCCAACCGTCCCTCCTATCCAGACTACCGCCCAATCTCTGAAGCCAGCTCCTGTTCCCAACATCCAGTTTATCCTTTAAGCAATCTCCGGTCTCTCGTCTCTCACCTTGATCTCTCCCGTCTCCGTCCCTAGCCTGTTCTTGCCCGTCTCGTTGCCCCGGTCTCCCGTACACCACTCCGTCGTTCCGAGTGCTCTGTCTCCGGTCTGCGGCCCTCGATCTCCAGTCACGGTCTCCAATCTCTCAGCGGCCGGCGCCTCCTAGCCGCGCTCGCTTCACTGAGAGCCCATCACTCCGTCCGCCGAGATGCCAGCGCTTCAGCCCACCTCCCCAGACACGTATTCGCACCTGGCCTCTGCCGATTCAATTACACTAATAGAGCCGCCTGCTCTTTGTCCGTCCGATTTATGGCGGCTTTCGACGTCTCGCGGCCGCGCGGCCCCCTGCCGTCGGCGGACGTGCCGCCCTCAGCAGACGAACGAGCTGGCGTCGTCCGCGCCGCGGCCCGGTCTTCTGGGGGAGACGAGTCGAGCCTGGGGTGCGGTAACAGGACAGGGGATGAGTCGAGCCTTGGGTGCCGTAACGGGACAGGGGATGAGTCGAGCCTGGGGTGCCGTAACGGGACAGGGGATGAGTCGAGCCTTGGGTGCCGTAACGGGACAGGGGATGAGTCGAGTCTGGGGTGCCGTAACGGGACAGGGGATGAGTCGAGCCTGGAGTACCGTAACGGGGCAGGGGTGAGTCGAGCCTGGAGTACCGTAACGGGACAGGGGATGAGTCGAGCCTGGAGTACCTTAACGGGACAGGGGATGAGTCGAGCATTGGGTACAGTAACGGGACAGGAGATGAGTCAAGCCTTGGTGCCGTAACGGGACAGGAGATGAGTCGAGCCTGGGGTGCAGTAACGGGACAGGGGATGAGTCGAGCCTGGAGTACTGTAACGGGACAGGGGTGAGTCGAGCCTGGAGTACCGTAACGGGACAGGGATGAGTCGAGCCTGGGGTACCGTAGCGGGACAGGGGATGAGTCGAGCCTTGGGTGCCGTAACGGGACAGGGGATGAGTCGAGCCTTGGGTGCCGTAACGGGACAGGGGATGAGTCGAGCCTGGAATACCGTAACGGGACAGGGGATGAGTCGAGCCTGGAGTACCGTAACGGGACAGGGGATGAGTCGAGCCTTGGGTGCCGTAACGGGACAGGGGATGAGTCGAGTCTGGGGTGCGGTAACGGGACAGGGGTGAGTCGAGCCTGGGGTGCCGTAACGGGACAGGGGATGGATGAGTCGAGCCTGGGGTGCAGTAACGGGACGGGGGATGAGTCGAGCCTGGGGTGCAGTAACGGGACAGGGGATGAGTCGAGCCTTGGGTACAGTAAGGGGACAGGGGACGAGTCGAACCTGGGGTGCAGTAACGGGACAGGGGATGAGTCGAACCTGAAGTACCGTAACGGGACAGGGGATGAGTCGAGCCATGGGTGCTGTAACGGGACAGGGGATGAGTGAGCCATGGGTGTTGTAACGGGACAGGAGATGAGTCGAGCCTTGGGTGCCGTAACGGGACAAAGGATGAGTCGAGCCATGGGTGCTGCCACGTGCCAGGGTAAGTCAAACCGGCTGTCGAAGGGCGGGGATGAGTCTGTGGTAAAATATCCTTGTTTTGGCTATCACGAGATAGATGATGGTGATGAGATAGCTCGTTGATGACATGGCACGTACACAAGGATCTAATAGACTGAACATGATACAATGCTCCGCAGAAGCTTGATTTTTGTCGCAGTGATTTCGTCACTCTGCAGGTACCCCTAAAGGAACTTTGTGGGGTTTGAAACCGTTCTGATCTTTTGGGTACCGAGAGTCAGGTGATCAAACATAGCAAAAATAGCAATGTTTCCGTTAGTCTGCACCTGTTGACGAAAACATGCTTTTTAGCAATGATTTGTTCTCGTAGCAAAATTAACTTTTGAAAACTTGTGTTGGCATGCAGAATCTTTTGAAACCCTATGACATTTAAAGCGTTATATACATAAACCCATCCACACCAGCATGCGTACATTAATGCATGCGCCAACGCGTAGGCATGCATCAAGACATGTATGCATACCTAGCTGTTTGTGTGTATATTCCGCTATGCGGATAGACTGGCTTGCGTTATGCCTCCAGGGATCTCGCCTATCGTCGGAGCCAAGGGACGGGGTATCTTTCCCTATCTTGTTTTTTCGTTGACGTTGATTAGGTGGTAACACCCAAACGCAGGCTGGAGCACATTCGAGTCTCTTCATTTTCGTTCCGGGCGCGTATTTTTTGCTGACGTATGCGCCGCAGAAATCTCTCACTCCCACTTAAGTGGCGACATCTTGCCGCACTCGGTGGGTATAAGGAAGTTACAGCAGGCGCGTTTTTAGCAGCGTTTCGCAACGCCGGAGTAATTACCTGCGAGTCCCCTGGGCCCGGCGAGTTGGTGGCTTCTTTTCTGCGCCGGCTCGGTCCCCGTTTGAGAGTGTTTTCTTGTTACCTGAAAATGACCTCCCCAGAGCCCCGGAGGAAAACACAGCGATAATGCCAGCCGGCGTCTAATGAAAGCGCGTCGGCGTCCACATGCGCCGCGACCGGCCAGGACCAACGATGAGCCGTCCATCAGCTGTCTGAAAACCACGCCACGATTGCCGCCAGACACGACTTGGCTTTCGTGCGTCGTAAGTGGCGCCGGTTTTTTCTGCGGCCCGTGCGGTCTCCGACGGCGATCGGCGCCCTCCCGGGTCGATCGGAAGACGCCCTGGGCCGGCTGACCTGTGACCCTTGGGTCGATGATCGCACCGGCGGCTCGCAGGACTCGACGCTCGGCGCAGAGCCTGAACCTCTCCATTCTGTCCATTTGGCGTAGTGCTGATGTGAGCTAAGACATGGTCGATGGGGAATGTGGACATAACTGTCCCTAGTGTCGATGGGTTCCAGGCCCCAGTGACTTTTGAACAGATTAGGATTTTTTTATCATTTTCCATGTAAAACAAAGTAGCAATAAGAATATGAGACCCCAGTAATCTGCGGCGTGTAATCACACTCCTGGTGGGCCTCGGCTCACCGCCGACGGTAGGCGACCTGACCTGCCAGTGACTATTTAGGCCGCAGTGAGCGATGACACAGGTCGTGTTTACGATAGCGCTGGCGCATCTGCAGTGAGAAATGTGAGCCGCGGGTTCGCGGGTCCTGCAGCGGATGTTACCGGCAAGATTATACGTTCTGTCGATAGGCGATGACGCCAACTGTTTATGCCGCTTGTAGAAACATGACTCGCTGGATGTGTATCGTTATGTATTTATGTACATAATCTCGCGATGCTAGAGCATGAATGCGCGCCTAGAGAGGCAAGGGCAGCCGACAATTTTCGTTACGGTAGTTTTGTTAGGCATTTTGTTGCAATCACAAAAGAGGAAACAGACCTTTTCGTCGTCATACATCTACGCATAAAATAAACCATGGATGTTTCGATGCATTAAGCATTACTCTCAGTCACCTCAAATAAATTTCCAATCGAATTATGCTTCGTAATTTAAACAATAAGATGACTTTGCCAAACGCACGCATGACCAGAAAAGTCGTTTGCTGTCAGAAATATTCGACCCCTCCACAGCAGCTCATATTTGTTCGCAAGGCCCGGCCATCACCTGTCCGGTTAAATGTACATTATTTTGCTACCCTTGCGTGCTCTCCATCCACGCAAAACAGCTTGTGCAACAAATTACAAGTTTCGTTGGAGCCTGGTTGCGGGAACACCCGCCGATTCCATGTTGAGACACCAAGAGACGCAAGTCGCGAGGCCACGAAACCAAGCAAGATCATGCGTGTGTCAATGTGACTTTACGAAGAACTCAGACACCGAGACTATATGGCGTCGCCTGTCTCTCACCCTGACAGGAAAGGCGGGTAACGCGGGGAATCGAGCCCTGCACCTGAGGTTGCCCAGACGGGCAGCTTACTAACCCAGATCATACAGATCTGCTGTTCAAGATCACCCGGTATTTACCCACCCGGTTGTGTCGATGGAAATACAGAGGGTTGGTTAAAATTATTCGTAAATTTCAAACATGTTGCACATTTTACGATTACCGTTACTGATATTTTTCTCGACTTCTGATGCCCTCTGCAGCACGACAAACAGGAGCACAACAGGTCTCTAACACACTCCGCAGCACCAAATTGTAAGCCAAGCATGCATGCCAGGCCTACCATTCGACCCCAAACTGGGACGTTTCTTGCAGGCGACGACTCCTATGTCCTCTGCTGTCTGGATAAATCAAACCAAGACTTAGGACAGATCCACGCCCACAATGGCACACCAATGCTACTGCACTATATCGCGGCAGGATTGGTGACGGCGGCATAACTTCCATGAGGTGTCAAGTGATTGACGCCTGCTGAACAGTTCCCAGCCTGTGTCGTCGATCACGCTTCGTTGTGCGTGCTTTGGTCAGTGTAAACATTTCAGGAACCAGTTTCGATCATATATGTATAGTAATATATATATATATATATATATATATAGATATACATATATTAATATATTAATATACATATATATATAATATATATAATATATATATATATATACATATAATAGTTATATATATATATAATCTATATACTATATTATATTATATTCTCTCTCTCTCTTCCTCTCTCTCCCTCTCCTCTCTCTCCTCTCTCTCTCTCCTCCTCTCTCTCCTCTCTCTCTCTCCTCTCTCTCTCTCTCTCTCTCTCTCTCTCTCTCTCTCTCTCTCTCCTCTCTCTCTCTCTTCTCTTTCTCTCATCGTCTCAGCCCTCTCTCTCCTCTTGTGTCAACATGTTAACGTGTCTCAGAAAGACGCACTATCTGATTAATCATGGAGTGGCGTAGGCAACAACCCAGTGGGGTCAGGCTCACACGGGGCTAGGCCAAAATGTAATAGTGTTGTTTGTGCGTCGGTTATGTGTCATTTGAGCCTAATTTCGTTTTTCAAAAGTATTGCTGTTACTGTCTTGAACATAAATACCAAAGCTATTGACTTCGAGTCCTTTGAGGACTCATTCGGTTTTCCTGAGCGTTGCAAGGCAATCTTTTGCGCACGCGCGTGCGCCAAACTGTCCCGGGCACCACACGAGCTGCAATAAATGTCCCTGTGGCTCACACCGCCGCCCTTGCTTCAGGAGTAACCCTCAACGGTACGGACATCACGTTCTCGCCCGTGAGGCGGCACCACATGGCCGTGTACCTGTGCATCGCCTCCAACGGCTACCCTCCCTCCGTCTCCAAACGGATTGTGCTCCAGGTCCAGTGTGAGTGGTGTGATTGTGCTCCGAGGCCAGTGTGGGCGGTGTGATTGTGCTCCGAGGCCAGTGTGGGCGGTGTGATTGTGCTCCGAGGGCAGTGTGGGCGGTGTGCTTGTGCTCCGAGGGCAGTGTGGGCGGTGTGATTGTGCTCCGAGGGCAGTGTGAGTGGTGTGATTGTACTCCGAGGCCAGTGTGAGTGGTGTGATTGTGCTCCGAGGCTAGTGTGAGTGGTGTGATTGTGTTCCGAGGGCAGTGTGAGTGGTGTGATTGTGCTCCGAGGCCAATGTGAGTGGTGTGATTGTGCTCCGAGGCCAGTGTGAGTGGTGTAATTGTGCTCCGAGGCCAGTGTGTGAGTGGTGTGATTGTGCTCCGAGGCCAGTGTGAGTGGTGTGATTGTGCTCCGAGGCCAGTGTGTGAGTGGTGTGATTGTGCTCCGAGGCCAGTGTGAGTGGTGTGATTGTGCTCCGAGGCCAGTGCAAACGGCTTGATTGCGTTCCAGGTTCAGTGTAACTTGGTTGGATGGTGATTGGCCCAGAGGGGATGGCTGGTTGCGTTTCAGGCTAGTTCAGATGGTTTGACTGTTGTAAGTGCAGTGCCAGGGGACTGGGATTCACTGTCGCAGCGTGGCGGCGCGGCTTCGGGGCAGGTCTGGCGCGAGCAAGCAGGTCGCCAGCGCGATCGCTTGAGCATCAGTGTGAACTTTCTGCGCGTCTCTTGAGGACAGAGCACAGTACTCGAGTGCAGGCCTCAGCCTCGCCAGGTGTGCCTAAAGGTAGCCCCGGTACCAGCGCCGATTTGCTGTACTTTGATGTGTGTTGGTGTCGGAGCAGTGCGACAGCCAATTTTCTTTAATTTGGATGCACCAGCTCCACAATGGCCATTCAGATGTAATGAATATGCAGGTCTTTATGGTGAAAAGGGATGTGATCGACAGCTTACCTTACATCTACACCGGCTGCTCACGTTATGGATGAGAAGCCTGATGTGTGGGCACCGTATCTATCCACGTACGGATACTCATTAGCTTTACGAATAGGAGCTTGGGCGTGGTCATAATATGGACAATCCCTATTATCAAGTACATAGCCACCGCCTGTGCCTTATCCCACCACGTGCCGGAGCTGGTTAACACGTGCGCGTTTGGCAGTCGCGCCGATGGTGAACGTGTCGGCGCCGCTGCTCCGGGCGGCCAAGGGTTTGCCCGTCAGCCTGCGCTGCGACACAGAGGCGCACCCCAGATCAGTGGCCTACTGGGTCAAGGCCAACTCCGGGGTCGTGGCCTCAGGTACGACCAATCAGTGGTGGCGGCGCAGTATCTGCGGCTGAGCGCCTGCTGCGCATTTGAAATAAAGCTGAGCAAACATTACGGGGTTGAAATCAATGCTGCCAGATCCACCATGCGTTGTGACAGAAATGCTGCCACTATCTACCATGCGTTGTAACACAAATGCTGCCACTATCCACCATGCGTTGTGACAGAAATGCTGCCGCTATCTACCATGTGCTGTGACAGAAATGCTGCCGCTATCTGCCATGCGTTGTGACAGAAATGCTGCCGCTATCTTCCATGCGTTGAGTGCGTTCACAGTATAGTATATAGAGGCGAGAGACGAACGTAGCAGAACGCATGCTGGGCTGCGATTGTAATGCTCTCCCAAAATAACATCGTTGTCACCGTTTTGGATCCGCAGGGTCCAAGTACGAGGAGGAGGAAATTGTGCAGGGTTACAAGCTAACCATGCAGCTGAAGATATTCAAGGTGGACGGTGCCGACTTCACGTCTTACAAATGTGTCGTGAAAAACCCACTAGGAGAAGCGGAAGGCACCATACGCTTAGCAGGTGGGTTTCGACTGTCATGTCTCTGGTTGTATTCGATAAACGTTATCAGTTGGCAGACCTATTCAGTATTATGCCAGTATCTTGCTGCCTCCCCCGAATGGTGCCGAGACCTCTAGTTACGGAGGTAATCAAACACTTCGCATATTATGACCGGCATATTTGTAGGAGGTCTAAAATATCATCAACACATTCAACGAGACGCTTCCAATTCTGACAATGGCCGTGATCTGAGATTTCATTTCGCGGTGTCGAAGTCTCTTTTTCCCTGCACCACTGAATTGGTAAGTGAACGCCGTGCCATGTGGTGGCATGTGCACAGGCGCGTTTAAGGTCGACTGGCGTGTACCGTTGCTGTACTTCTGACTGGGTGGTGAGGTGACTGGCCGCACTTCGGGGCTGGTCGCCACAGGTGAGAGTGAGCTCACCCCGGGGCTGGTCGCCATAGGTGAGAGTGAGCTCACCCCAGGGCTGGTCGCCATAGGTGAGAGTAAGTACACCCCAGGGCTGGCCGTCACAGGTGAGAGTGAGCTCACCCCGGGACTGGTCGTCTCAGGTGAGAGTAAGCGCACCCCGGGGCTGGCCGTCTCAGGTGAGAGCGAGTTCACCACGGGAATGGCCGTCTCAGGTGAGAGTAAGTGCGCCCCGGACCTGCCGTCACTGGTGAGAGTGAGCTCACCACGGGGCTGGTCGTCTCAGGTGAGAGCAAGCTCACCCCAAGGCTGCTGGTCTCAGGTGAGAACGAGCGCACTCCGGGGCTGGCCATCACAGGTGAGAGTGAGCTCACCACGGGGCTGGTCGTCTCAGGTGAGAGCGAGCTCACCCCAAGACTGCTGGCCTCAGGTGAGAACGAACGCACCCCGGGGCTGGCCGTCTCAGGTGACAGTGAGCGCACCCAGATGAGCACCCGAGGCCGCCTCGGACGCCGCCCACCGGCGTCTATCGATTTACGGTTAAGCAGCGGTGATCACAGTACAGACACTTTCCATTAGTTGACACGAGAGTCGCAGATTTACGGTCCATTTGCGCCGAGCCGACCGGCCGTCCTGGTGTCACGAGAGAGCCCCGGCCGCGCCGCCCGGTCAGAAGCGCGCTCTTTCAAGTTAATCGGTGTGTTTCGGGCGGCGCGGCCGTGCGATGATCGGTGACGGCGGGTCGGCACGACACTGCTGGCCGAGCCGCGGAGTCGGCCGCGCCGCGCCGTGCTGTTGTGGTGCAGCCGAATTTTAGCGGAGCTGGTGCGAGATTGGAGACTGGAGGAAGTGTCTCGCAGCCTGGTCTGTGGGTGACACTGGGCTGTTTATATCCATTGTTTCAGTTGGACCTTTGTGCGATGCCTACTCGTACTTGAAAAAGCCACCTCAGAAATTGCAATCAGTTTTTAAAGAACAAAATTTCAAGCTTTAACTCCTGACGAAAAACGGGCCGTTTTAGCTATCGGAACACGTTATACGGACACTTTTCATTAGGACTTGAACGCAAAAACCCACGCCATACCCTGCAGAAAGGTGACCGAACTTGGGCATCGTCACGCTCTTGACCTTTGAATTGGGTTTGTGGCGGCGCGGGAGCCGTTACGCCTAGGACCGTTCTACAGGCTGCTAACCGTGGAATCACTGGCCATGAAGTCCAGGCATGATTGGTGATGGAAGTAGGTCAACGAACACCATTCCGTGAGGTAGATATTTTCCATAACCCCATTTTACGAAGAAAAAGCGCATGCCCTACGGAAACTTCACACAGGAGGCATCAAAGACCCTCACCCCAAAAACATTTCGTGCCACTGATGAATGAACTCGGACGTTGTCGTACACCCCTAAGCGGAGTGCGGCGCCGGCAGAGCGTCAGCCGACGCCGGAGGAGCGGGTGGCGCTGCGCTCCGACTCGCGCGAGGAGGAGGCGCGCCGGCAGCGGGAGCGGCAGGCGCAGCTGGAGGCGGAGGAGCGGCGCCGCGAGCAGCGCCGGCTGGAGGAGAGCCGCCGCCAGCGGGACCGGCAGGCTGCGCGGCCCGACCCGGCGCGTCCCGACCACACCGACCAGCAGCACCGCCGACCCCAGACAGGTCAGCAGGCCCGGGCCAAACACGGGGCCGCCGACGGCATGGGGCGGGCTACGGGGGTCGCGCCGCTGGCAAGTAGGACAGTGGCATTGTAAGACATGAATACTATCTCGTCTATTTACGGTGCGATGTCGTATTCACATTATCAGTTGTCATTCTTTGCCGAATCATTCTTGAATGTCACGTGGTCGTCAGTTTGGGGTCAACGCTGGATCGTTAATATCTGTCATCAGACAGGAGATCATGTCCCACTATCCCCAAAACAATGAAATTGGTGAACTTCTGAGCGTATGCGCAGTGTTGTAGGTCATAAGGGGGCTGGCATGTAGACAAACTCGCGGAAGTGCCAGAATGCATCACTGGTACCGACCTTACCTCGCTTGCTGACCTCGGCAGACATCGACACCAGCGTGGGCGTGAGCGAGCCGGCCGAGCCGCCGGGCCCGCCAGCCTTTAGCTCAGCTCCGCGCAGCCGGCCGGCCGGGCCCGACACACGGCTGCTGCTGCTGCCGCTGCTGCTGTCGCCGCTGCTGCTGTCGCTGCTGGCGGCTGAGCAGCTCGCCTGCTAGTGACAGGCCACGCCGTGCCCGAGAGCGGTGCCAGGCAGCGGACGCCACCGATTTGGCCACTGCGGACCGCTATCCACGGAGGGCTGCCCCCCCCCCCCCCCCCCCCCACCAAGCCACATCAATTGGAGGACGAGCTGCCCCCTGGGGAAGCAGCTGCGAGGCGGAGGGTGTACCTCCGCCCTGGGTATTTGCCTGAGATCGGCCAGTAGGATGGCCGCGGTTGAGGCGGTTCTTTGGGCTACAGGCAACTCGTGCTATTCCATAATCCAGTCAGTCCCAAGGAAACGGACTACCCTCATGCATTCCGCAACAAGAGAGGCATTTCTCGTTTTGTCAGTTAAGGCAACAAGGAGATCGCTCCTCAGCATGGGGCGAGGGATAGCCAGCGAATGGCTCGTTTCACCCGTAAGCATATGCGCACGCCTCTGAAGCACCAACCATTTCGTTGATCAGTGGACCGGGCGGCCACGGGCTGCAACGGCCCAAGTTCCGTCAGACTGTGGACACCGTCGCCAAAGTCATAGCAGTCAGCGGATGACATCAGCTCCTTAAGCCACGCATGCAGAAGGCAGGCTCCGAAGTTGGGGCGGTCATTTGGCGAAATATGTTCTTGGAAGTCGGAGAAGATTGAGAGCAGAAGGGCTGTTAAGCCGGGATGGTGAGAAAGGCAAACCCTTCGAAAGCCATGGTATCACCAACGTCAGAAACGCGTGCGAGGTAGAAACAGTCAGGGACCAACCAGTTCAAAAGTCCTAAAGGGGAAGAGAATACATATATCCCTGGTCATGAAGCTTAGTGGAACATGTCCCCAGGGCCAGTGCGACGTTTGGTGGTATCGGTAGAACCTGTGGCCTCATGTTTCCCGGACAGAGGGGTTTAAGGATAACTATTTGGGGCAAAGAAGGCAGAATGAACCTTTCAGGCCTGAAGCGCCCTGATGCATGAACACAAGTCTCGCGCTCCAGTTTTTCAGTCCGGCGAATCTTTTCGCGGTCGAGTTGGTGTCCAATCGGTTTGACGGTTCCGGTTCGAACCGGTTTAATGGTTCCGGTTCGAACCGGTTTAATGGTTCCGGTTCGAACCGGTTTTGCATGAGGATATGGAATCGGCGTTCAAAGGCACTTACGAAAGCTTCGGTGTATCGGTGATATAATGGGTGTCAGGCTGCACCACCCTACGCTTAGCCGGGTTGAGGCAAGTCTAAAAGAGATTGTAAGCATAACTGTTGTTGAAGGGCATACCCCATACATTGTAGATGACATTTCATCGAAGGCTGTAGTTCCTCTCCCAGTCGCGTCTGGTGGCTTTGGCGGTGCTACGTGCGAGCGCGAGCCGTTCGCTGAACACTTTTGGGGATGCACAAAGCACATGGAGGCTGCTGGTAGGAAATTTGAGGTTGACGCCCATTCCATTCTGTCAAACTAGAATTTGTTTTACGAATTGTTTTTAGAATTATTAATTATTTTTATATTTTATTAATTACTTTTAGAAGACGAACTTTGTATACTTTTGTACAGCATTGTCAGACTACGCTAGAAAATCAGTAATATAACGGTCGGATTCATTCTTTCCGTACAGAAGAACGTGGTTATGTGCGCACGTCGGCATACACTTGCGCCGGTATGTTTGTTCATTTTGTCATTCGCTAGTGTTTGTTAGTCTCGTGTCTCTGCGACGCCGGACCGTTGAGCTGTGGAACCGGTTTCGACCATTGTTTTCCACGTGTTCGCGCAGTTTTAAAATGACATTTTCCGTTCCCATCCCAAAGGGAGGGGCAATCGCGATGATTTACAAGGTTGCACGAACAACCAATCTGTCCAAAAGGTTTGTATCACAACGAGTAACAGTTTGTGCACCACGAGTTTCAAGGAATTTCGCGTATTGTCGCTGAAAACCGTGTGAACTTAATATCGATGGTTGCAAAGACACTTCCTTTTAGAAAGCATGACAGCTTGACCAGGTTCGACTGGGCCTGGCTAGCCCAGAAAGCTCGTGTTACACATTTTATCGATTTAATTAGGACTGATTTGGCCTACGGCTTCGCTTATAACATTATCCTGAAAGATAAGTGCATGACCTGACAGCTTTACATGCCTGTTTCCAATCTGAAGTGCGCCCGGTGTGATGATCTACCGAATGGCATGACTCCTGTGTTTTGTGCATCCCGAAGGGTTCGAGCCACCATCCCCGGTCAGAAGCCGGGGTCTTGTCCGCAGGCGGCGGGACCGTCGGCCGGGCGAGAGCCGTTATCGATGTTACTGTTCATGGAAGGGAGACTCATTGCGACGGGGAGGGGCCCTTTGGCGCCTCGTTACCGGGAGTTACGGCGCCGAAGCGTGCAGCCAGCTTGACGGCGCTGAGTGCTGTGCAGGTGGGCTCGCTCGCTCGCGCGGCGACGACTGTGGCTCGGAACCGTGAATGATTTGTTGGCACTTCGAAACCGTCGGAGATGCGGCGTTGGTTTCTGAGCCACGGCGCACCGCTGCTGCCAGGATAAGCTGTAGGCAGTGACACTAGTCACTAGGAACCGGCCGTCACCGGGGACGCCAGCCACCGGGACCGGCCGTCACCAGTGACACCAGTCACCGGGATCGGCCGTCACCGGGGACAGCTCTCAGCAGGACAGACGTCACCAGGGACAGCTCTCAGCAGGGCAGACGTCACCACGGTCAGCCGTCAACGGGGATACCTGTCACTAGAGTTGGCCGTCACCACTCAGCTGCTATCAGGGGGCGGTGGTCACCGACAGCAGTTCTGTGGGCTGGACGCCAGGGCGGTTCGTCGGAGTCCGCCTATATCCGGTCGGTGTGTTACCCCGCGCGGCTGCTGTTATGCGATGTGTGCGTCTGCTTCTCCAGTGCGTTTTGTTCAGCCTCCGCGGGCAGCCGAACGCTCAAGCGCCGGCCGGCCCAATGCCCTGTTTAACATGTGCAAATACAGCCGCCGTCCCAACGCGGCGTTTCTCGGAGCATCGGTGGAAGTGCGGAGGGCGTCCTGGGCGCTGGGAAACGCAGCACCGCGGCTGTTGGGATGGGGCGACAAATCATATTTAGGTGGCCTTCGTCTTCAATGAAGTTATAGGATCGACCTTAACACACGCCAGCTGTTTGGGCATACGATGATGTGCAGGAGGCGAATGTAGGCGTCAACTCTGGACGGCCAATGCGCGCACATGGGGGATGTCACCGAGACATGCTGATGTGGCCAAGCTGCCGAAAACGTATCTCTCACTGACAAGCGTACAATGATTCACATGCTATACAGTCTGCAAGCCTTCTATTCCACACCAGAGGCGTAACCTAACCGTTCAGCATGGTTGCTGTTCGAAGTTTTTAAGACATGGGACATTTTTATATGACATTACCTGCATTACCTGCGTAACTTTCGATGCTATTGATAGCTTTACATGAGAGCAACTTCTATTTCGAACGTTATCAAGGGTATTCCCGGGGCGTATCGCCGGACGCGGCCCTGCCCGCCGGCAGGCCGGCAGCCACCGGGCCCTCCCCTCCCTCCCCTCTCTCCCTCCTGCTGCTGCGGTTCATCGCACCCACTGCAGGCCCGTGCGCGCGCGGCGCAGCTTTCAATAACTGGCATGCTTCCGCGGGAGCACGAGGGTCAGCCGACATTGATCGACGCCAATAGCCATTGTTAGCGGCGAATAATGACGGCGGCAATCGTCGCTAATGATACAATCCGTGGGTGCGCCGCCGTGAAAGGGTGCGGCGACACAGGGGCCTGGGCGTGGTCACCGCGGATCCGGCGGGCGTGAGAGCAGACCGACGCCGTCGGCAACGGGGCGTGGCCTGTCCCCGACAGGTGCACAGTGCGCTTGGGGTTACAGGTATTTTTGCAGACAGCGTAACAAGCTCCATTTTCGATGGGGGTAGATCAAACAGCTTCTACCGAAGAAGATCCATGAACAATCGGGTTCTTGGCTTCCGAATATCCAAGGCTCTGGACTCAGACATCTGAGACACAGAACAGGTCTTCCAAATTCCAGGATCTGCTTCCGGAGGTTCACATATCGACACATCTGAACGCGGAGCCCACCCACTGATTCCGAGGAAGCCGTAGTGTCCAGTGAACACCTGCCCCTCTCCTTGGAGACTGTCCACTCTTATTTCACTGTGCTTGCGGACCCACATCCAGTTCGTCCTCTGCCGCTCCTGCCGGCTGGTCACCCCACCGGGACCGGTGACGTATTTCCGGCCCCATCAGCGGCCCGCTGCGGCCGCGTCTGGCCGCAGCGTGCGTCAAATCGGCGCCATCGGGCGGCGGATTTGGCCCGTCGGCGCCGGCCCGGGTGCCGTGCAGTCCACGCTGCCAGCCGTAACTCGGCCGGCCGGTCCGCCTGTTAATCCTGTCACACGGCCGGGTCGCCTCGGCCGCGCCGGTCACGTTAGTTACAGTCGGCGCCCCATACGCCTCAGATCGAGGTGGCACCGGCGCCGGGGACGCGGCGCATTCTCACGACCTGATTACGGCCACGCTGCAGCGGCCGGCGGCGCCCGGTGCTATGAATGGCAATGGCCTCATTGACCAGACAATATGCGGCACAATGTTTATGAAATTAGAGTAAATCGTGACTGTTTCGGCGCAGATGTGTGCGGCAGGGACCGGGGACGAGCACCACTGAACCAATCGTGTCCGCTCTCGAAATTACGGGCGCACTCGGAGCGGCGCTGCCTCCGAATGGCACACAAGTCCGGAACACGTCACCGCCAGCCGAGCCACGGGAATGCGCGCCGCCGCCGACACCGGGGCTGTCAGCGTCCAGCAGACACCAGCCCCACCAAGCAATGGTATATATTTGGAAGATTGTTCGTCTGGTCCCGTGTTACAAACGCCACTCAGCCACACGCACACGCGCACTCCCACACGCGTCCTGACTTCGTCCAACGACCAGGCCTTCAAGGCGCACTCTCCCACACGCGGCCAAGATAAAAGCGCACACAGCAGAGACGGGCCCCTACCACCACCGCTCGCGCAGCCCGCTCCGGCGGCCGCCGCGGCGCCGCACCCGCCCGCGCCCCGGCAGGCCGATGCATTATGAGATGAGCGCGCCGCGCGGCCGCAGGAGAGCGCGGCCGACTGTTAGTACAACGGAGCCGCCCGCCGCCGCGGCACAAGTCCGGATTAAAGGAACGCGTTAACATGTCGCTCTGATAAAACACACACGCGCGCGCGGGCTCGCGGCGGCCGCCTATCGCTTCCGCCGCCGCCGCTTGGTTTTGTTCTCGTTCGGCTCGACACCGGAGGCGGGGCTGGGCGACCTCTCCTGAAATGGTGGCGCCGGTCAGCAGTGCGCGCGCGCGACACAGCAGCCATCCTACGCGTGGCGAGCAGGTGGTCAGCCGACACCAGCGATGACACATGTTTGGCATCGATCTCGTCTAGTTGTCAGGCGAGAGACAGTCTTGTTCTAAATGCGTGAACTGTCGATCAAAAGCGTGATCTGCTCATACGCAGACTTGGGACTGTCTTTGCTGCTACACACGTATGTAATCATTCGATAGCATCCAAACCTGCCACCGACAGGAGCGGAACGCTGAGTCAGGCATCAAGTATATCTCTGATGCCCCACGTTATCAAGCGTCATACACAGTCCTGGCTCTTCTCCTCCGCGCCATGTCCGGAGCCGACCATGGCGCCGGCTACCCCCGACCCTACCTCTCTCCCCTGCACCCTGGCGCCGGCTGTCTCCGACCCTGCCTCTGCCCCCTGCACCCTAACGCCGGCTGTCTCCGACTCTGCCTCTCTCGCCTGCACCCTGGCGCCGGCTGTCTCCGACCCTGCCTCTCTCGCCTGCACCCTGGCGCCGGCTGTCTCCGACCCTGCCTCTCTCGCCTGCACCTTGGCGCCGGCTGCCTCTGACCCTGCCTCTGCCCCCTGCACCCTAACGCCGGCTGTCTCCGGCCTTGCCTCTCTCCCCTGCACCCTGGCGCCGGCTGTCTCCGACCCTGCCTCTCTCCCCTGCACCCTGGCGCTGGCTGTCCCGGACCCTGCCCCTGTCCCCTAGACCCTGGCGATCACCAGACCTCACCTCTCCGCTGTCGTCCGAGTCCGTGCCGGTACTGTTGGCGTTGTTGTCGGCCGGCGCCGACACCGGGTTGTTGTCGCCGTCGACGGCGGCCGGCGGCTCGACCTCAGGCGTCTCTGTCAGCTCGCTCATCTTGCGGATCACGATCTGCGCCTGCAGCGCGTCCTGCCGGCCGGCGCGCGGCTCCCGTAAACGCGCGTGCGCGCGCCAAAACCGCCTCCCACCCGACACGCGTCCGGGCGAGCTGTTTCTCAGCACAGGATCGGCGGCTGCCCGGGGTCCTCACTCAGTGGATGAGTGCGTTTTCATAAATGCGCGTACTGCAACTGGACCCAAGTTCCCCACAAAAACAGACAGGTCTCTCCCGTACACACCCACCAGGCAATTCACTACGAACGCTGGAATGCATCAGTGATAATGACCGGAAAATAAAGCGCATACAATATAGCTGCATGCTCAAAAAGTCCTTCAACATGTCTCGGGGATCGAAACCCGGTATGACTGCCTAAGACCCAGGTGTCGCTCCGCTGGCCATAGCACCGGATCACGCGTGAGCCGGGCCGGGAGAGGGCGGGCCTACCTGCTCGAGCGACTTAAGCCGCGCCTGCCGCCAGGCGGCGCGCTTCTCGGCCTGCAGCGCGCGCCACTCGGCCGGCGACATCTGTTGCTCGTCGGCGGAGGCTGCGTTTCCGGCACTCTCCCGCAGGCGGCGCTCGGCCTTGGCCGTCATCATGCGCGGCCGGTCGGCGGTGGCGGGCGCCTGCGCCGGGTGGCTGCCGGCGGAGCGCGGGTCACGCGGACAAGGCCGCGGCGGGGCACGGACGCCCGGCTGACGGCCGCACCGCCGCGGAGCCCAGACACGGCACCGCGGCCCGGGGACACCCTCAGCGGGCCGACTCGGACGGACTGTGAGCCGCTCACTCACGCGGATGTTGTGAGGCTTTAGTACGATAACGCGGCCGAGAATCGGCCGCTGAGTAGCAAGACAGCGATCCCAGATGTCCATTCGACGTGAATCGCTTGGCTTCTACCACGGCATGACAGGCCAGGAAATTGCGATTTGCATTTTACCTCAAACATAGTGTGACTGCTGGCTAACTGAAATATTTAATTACTGCTGTCATTTGATGGGCATTATGGACGACAGAGCCTGCTTAAGGCGTGAGCTACGCCGCCGCGAATTAAAGCAAGAGAGCACTCCATTGTAGTATTGTATCACATGTAAGAAGACACGCACCACAATCCTGGAGGCCAAAGAATTGCCAAGCTTATATTGCGCTAAGAACAAATATTCGTAAGCCATTCGTTTGCAATAAAGTTGAATAGAACGTTACGAAGTTTACGAATGCTCACACACAAGTGTTGCTGGGACATCTACCAGGGACAGTTCGTCGGGACGCGCGGCGCACCGCCCGGCCGACGCACACGCACATGGCTCGTCCGTCGCCACGGCGACCGCCTGCTTACCTGTCATGCTCCGAAGCGCCCAGCTCCTCGGCCAGCACGTGCACGCTGTTCTCGGCCGAGTCGGGTACCACCAGGTGGCCCTCGAGGTGGCTCTCAAACTCCTCGGCCGTCATCGTGCCGAACTTCTCCTCTGAAACAGGGCGGTGCGGGGTCAGAGCCGCCGCCGCCGCCCTGCCGGCGCCGGCGGCTCCAGGCAAGGCGGCGGGCCGCCTCACTGTCTGGACGGCGGCGAGGCTGTGGGCCGGTTGTCGAATGTGCATGCTGGCGAGTCGCATTCTGACACACAGCAATTGAAGCCGCCTGGCGTAGTACGAAAACTGCAAGCAAGGGACGCGATATAACAACAGATGGATGATGCAAAAAAGGGAAAACACTATCGAATAGCGAAAGATGAAAGCCTCATCAGGTCCACCCAGCGTACCTTCCTCCTGTCTCATCCGCTCCACTTCGTCGGAGCTCAAGAACGTAAACCGCTTCTCTGAAACATGCCGAGAGCATGCTTCTCAGACAGCGCATCGCAAACAGCGGCATCTTCAATCACAGGCGAAACCATAACAAGACGTGCAACATTACATGTGCATTCGTAACAAAGGAAGCACACACGAGAAACAAAGGCGCCTAGTCTCGCGCAGCCTCGAGGCGGCCATGTGCCGCGCGTTCCACTCCATTAGTTATGAAACACAGCCAGAACCATGCTTTCACTAGCCAAAATTACGACAAATACGTGCATTCGTATACCACACCAATTCCAGGGACCTTCTAACCAAACCCCGACCTGCAGCCCGTAGGAGCACATACACCACACACACATACACACAGCGTCCATCGCCCAGCTCACCGGCCTTGGGCGTGGGCTCCTTCTGAGAGCGCACTTCGGTCTCGAAGAACCGCTTCATGGCCGAGAACGTCATCGGCTGTGGGGAGGGGGTGTCGGCGGCCGGCGCCGGCCCCGGCTCCAGACGCTGCGCGCGCGGCCGGCAGTCAGAGGCGTCAGCCACGGTACGGATGGCGCGGTACACTTAAACACCGACCGTCCTCAGAGACTCGCCAATGGTGACCGTCACTGGCGCTGAGACTGGGCGCGCAGGCCAACATGACCCGGGAAAACCTTGAGCGGCTCGCGCCAACTGGACTAGACACCGCAAAACAGACACGCATGACCTTCCACGACTAGGCCCAACGTCAGAAATTGTGCGCAGCGGTGTTAAAAGTTCCGATGTTACACTGATAACTACTTCTACAGCTCTCATTTCTCCCAGTGCACGACGGCATCTTAGCATTCCGAGCTGGCACGCGCACCTGGACCCATGTCATCGGGACCAGTCCACGGCGTCGCTCTCGGCGGCCGCCCATCCCCGCCGGCTGCCGGCGGTCCTCACCTGAGCCTCTGGTGTGGCGACGACGGCGGTGACCGGCGCCTCGGACGGCGCCGTCCCGCGGCGGGGCGCCACGCGCGGCTTGGGCCCGATCGGCGGCTTGCTGGGTGTGCTGGGCGCTGCTGGCGCCGGCGCTGGCGCTGGCGCCGGCCGTCGGCTCCGGCTCCAGCTCCGGCTCCGGCTCCGGCTTCGGCTTCGGCTCCAGCTGAGCGACGATCGGCGAGGCGGCCGGACCAGGCGCCACGCGCAGGGCGGCGGGCGCAGCGGCAGGCTGGGCGTGCATGCCAAGGCGGGACGGCACGCACGGCAGCCAGTTAGACACACCGAACGACGCATGCGCGGCCGCCACGCCGGTTAGACCCGTTGAGGGCAGGACACGCAAGGGCCACGCCACATCCAGGACGGTTATCCCCGCGGGGTGCGGCGACGACAGCGAGCCTAAACTCAGGCGACGACGGGCTCAGTGGGGTACGGGCCCTGCTCTCGGGAGGGGCGGGGGACAGGACACGGACACAGCCACATTTTCAAGCGTTTCTGACAGATACGAATAAATTGCCACTCAGTTACGGTATACGACGAAAACGGGGAAGGAATGCCAATCTTTAAGAAACCAGTCAAAACATTCCAACGCACAATGTTTTATAGAATGCTTATACAAATGCATATACGAAATACTAACTACCAGCTCAGACATTTTCTTAACGCGGAGCTTTCATTTTTTTCATTTGGTTTTCGTTTTCGTCTTCCGCCCGAAAGACCCCTGCCATGACCTG